TCAGGAGGCAGGTTAATAACTACAGTATCAGGGAGGTTAAAAACTACAGTGTCAGGAAGCAGGTTAAAAACTACTGTGTCAGGAGGCAGTTTAAAAACTACTGTGTCAGGAAGCAGGTTAAAAACTACAGTGTCATGAAGCAGGTTAAAAACTACGGTATCAGGAAGCAGGTTAAAAATTTCAGTATCAGGAGGCAGGTTAAAAATTACAGTATCAGGAAGCAGGTTAAAAACTACTGTGTCAGGAGGCAGGTTAATAACTACAGCATCAGGAAGCAGGTTAAAAACTACTGTGTCAGGAGGCAGGTTAATAACTACAGCATCAGGAAGCAGGTTAAAAACTACTGTGTCAGGAGGCAGGTTAAACACCAATCTTGGGAGTGGACTCAAGCCTTTTTAATCTTAATTCCTATTATTTTCTTCTTAGTTCTTATGAAGCAATATCTGTTTCGTGGCTTCTGTGCCGTATACTGTTTTGTAAATTGTTCATAACACATAGAACACATCTAGTACACTTCTGACAGTAGACATGTATTACACTTCTGACAGTAGATATGTTTTACACTTCTGACAGTAGACATGTTTTACACTTCTGACAGTAGACATGTTTTACACTTCTTATACAAGACATGTATTGCACTTCTGACAGTAGACATGTTTTACACTGCTGACAGTAGACATGTTTTACACTTCTGACAGTAGACATGTTTTACACTTCTGACAGTAGACATGTTTTACACTTCTGACAGTAGACATGTTTTACACTTCTGACAGTAGACATGTTTTAAAACTTCTGACAGTAGACATGTTTTACACTTCTGACAGTAGACATGTTTTACACTTCTAACAGTAGACATGTTTTACACTTCTTATACAAGACATGTATTGCACTTCTGACAGTAGACATGTTTTACACTTCTGACAGTAGACATTTTTTTACACTTCTGACAGTAGACATGTTTTACACTTCTGACAGTAGACATGTTTTACACTTCTGACAGTAGACATGTTTTACACTTCTGACAGTAGACATGTTTTACACTTCTGAAAAGTAGAATGTTTTTACACTTCTGACAGTAGACATGTTTTACACTTCTGACAGTAGACATGTTTTACACTTCTGACAGTAGACATGTTTTACACTTCTTATACAAGACATGTTTTACACTTCTGACAGTAGACATGTTTTACACTTCTGACAGTAGACATGTTTTACACTTCTTATACAAGACATGTATTGCACTTCTGACAGTAGACATGTTTTACACTTCTGACTGTAGACATGTTTTACACTTCTGACAGTAGACATGTTTTACACTTCTGACAGTAGACATGTTTTACACTTCTGACAGTAGACATGTTTTACACTTCTGACAGTAGACATGTTTTACACTTCTGACAGTAGACATGTTTTACACTTCTGACAGTAGACATATTTTACACTTCTGACAGTAGACATGTTTTACACTTCTGACAGTAGACATGTTTTACACTTCTGACAGTAGACATGTTTTACACTTCTGACAGTAGACATGTTTTACACTTCTGACAGTAGACATGTTTTACACTTCTGACAGTAGACATGTTTTACACTTCTGACAGTAGACATGTTTTACACTTCTTATACAAGACATGTATTGCACTTCTGACAGTAGACATGTTTTACACTTCTGACAGTAGACATGTTTTACACTTCTGACAGTAGACATGTTTTACACTTCTGACAGTAGACATGTTTTACACTTTTGACAGTAGACATGTTTTACACTTCTGACAGTAGACATGTTTTACACTTCTGACAGTAGACATGTTTTACACTTCTGACAGTAGACATGTTTTACACTTCTGACAGTAGACATGTTTTACACTTCTTATACAAGACATGTATTACACTTCTGACAGTAGACATGTTTTACACTTCTGACAGTAGACATGTTTTACACTTCTGACAGTAGACATGTTTTACACTTCTGACAGTAGACATGTTTTACACTTCTGACAGTAGACATGTTTTACACTTCTGACAGTAGACATGTTTTACACTTCTGACATTTAGACATGTTTTACACTTCTGACAGTAGACATGTTTTACACTTCTGACAGTAGACATGTTTTACACTTCTGACAGTAGACATGTTTTACACTTCTGACATTTAGACATGTTTTACACTTCTGACAGTAGAACTGTTTTACAATTCTGACAGTAGACATGTTTTACACTTTGACAGTAGAATTGTTTTACACTTCTGACAGTAGACATGTTTTACAATTCTGACAGTAGAATGTTTTACACTCTGACAGTAGACATGTTTTACACTTCTGACAGTAGACATGTTTTACACTTCTCATAGGAGACATGTTTTACACTTCTGACAGTAGACATGTTTTACACTTCTCATAGGAGACATGTTTTACACTTCTGACAGTAGACATGTTTTACACTTCTGACAGTAGACATGTTTTACACTTCTGACAGTAGACATGTTTTACACTTCTGACAGTAGACATGTTTTACACTTCTGACAGTAGACATGTTTTACACTTCTGACAGTAGACATGTTTTACACTTCTTATACAAGACATGTTTTACACTTCTGACAGTAGACATGTTTTACACTTCTTATACAAGACATGTTTTACACTTCTGACAGTAGACATGTTTTACACTTCTGACAGTAGACATGTTTTACACTTCTGACAGTAGACATGTTTTACATTCTCATAGGAGACATGTTTTACACTTCTGACAGTAGACATGTTTTACACTTCTAGTAGGAGACATGTTTTACACCTCTCATAACAAACATGTTTTACACCTCTCATAGCAGACATGTTTTACACTTCTCATAGCAGACATGTTTTACACCTCTCATAACAAACATGTTTTACACTTCTCATAGCAGACATGTTTTACACATCTCATAACAAACATGTTTTACACTTCTCATAGCAGACATGTTTTACACCTCTCATAGCAGACATGTTTTACACCTCTCATAGCAGACATGTTTTACACCTCTCATAACAAACATGTTTTACACATCTCATAGCAGACATGTTTTACACATCTCATAGCAGACATGTTTTACACATCTCATAACAAACATGTTTTACACATCTCATAGCAGACATGTTTTACACCTCTCATAACAAACATGTTTTACACATCTCATAACAAACATGTTTTACACATCTCATAACAAACATGTTTTACACCTCTCATAACAAACATGTTTTACACTTCTCATAGCAGACATGTTTTACACATCTCATAACAAACATGTTTTACACTTCTCATAGCAGACATGTTTTACACTTCTCATAGCAGACATGTTTTACACCTCTCATAGCAGACATGTTTTACACATCTCATAGCAGACATGTTTTACACTTCTCTAACAATTACCTCTCACTGACATATTTAAAAGTGAAAGGAACAAGAGCCACCAGGAAAGATGTCAGGCATAAATAAAGAAAATAAATAGAGGAAATAAGTATATAATACTGATAATATTTATCTCACAAAAGAAATCTAAATATGTATGAAAGTTGGGCAAATTTATATACAGAAATACCACTGGAAAGTACTGGCTAGGTAGTACTGGTATTACAGTACAACTTGACCAAGTAACACTGGAAAGTACTGGCTAGGTAGTACTGGTATTACAGTACAACTTGACCAAGTAACACTGGAAAGTACTGGCTAGGCAGTACTGGTATTACAGTACAACTTGACCAAGTAACACTGGAAAGTACTGGCTAGGTAGTACTGGTATTACAGTACAACTTGACCAAGTAACACTGGAAAGTACTGGCTAGGTAGTACTGGTATTACAGTACAACTTGACCAAGTAAAAACTGGAAAGTACTGGCTAGGCAGTACTGGTATTACAGTAAAAAATTGACCAAGTAACACTGGAAAGTATGGCTAGGCAATACTGGTATTACAGTACAACTTGACCAAGTAACACTGGAAAGTACTGGCTATGCAGTAGGTATTACAGTACAACTTGACCAAATAACACTGGAAAGTACTGGCTAGGCAGTATGGTATTACAGTACAACTTGACCAAATAACACTGGAAATTACTAGGCTAGGCAGTACTGGTATTACAGTACAACTTGACCAAGTAACACTGGAAAGTACTGGCTAGGCAGTACAGGTATTACAGTACAACTTGACCAAGTAACACTGGAAAGTACTGGCTAGGCAGTACTGGTATTACAGTACAACTTGACCAAGTAACACTGGAAAGTACTGGCTAGGTAGTACTGGTATTACAGTACAACTTGACCAAGTAACACTGGAAAGTACTGGCTAGGCAGTACTGGTATTACAGTACAACTTGACCAAGTAACACTGGAAAGTACTGGCTAGGCAGTACTGGTATTACAGTACAACTTGACCAAGTAACACTGGAAAGTACTGGCTAGGTAGTACTGGTATTACAGTACAACTTGACCAAGTAACACTGGAAAGTACTGGCTAGGTAGTACTGGTATTACAGTACAACTTGACCATGCTAGACAGGTATTACTCTGTTAGGTAAAAGTACACATGTGCAACTAATGCGACATTTTTATTGTGGAAACGTTTCGCTCTTGTGAGCTGCAAGCTCTGGCTCAGGCACCTACCCAGCTCTAGAAGAGCTGGGCATGGTGTCGATCCATGCCATATCTAACCTCTGGACAAAATGCTGGTCATCCTCTCAGAAAAATCCAGATTTTAGTACCAGGTATACAAACTGCTAACAAATTTTTCCTCTCCTTATCCCAAAATGCAAAGACCATCTACCAGATTATCGAAATGAATCATTCCTATATTTTTATTATATGATTCATTATCATAATTGCCATTAACCGCCCTGTATGACCACTAGCTTTCATTCATCACTTTTTAACATAGTTTCCGCTCTTCTTTCTCTATAAAAAACGCGGATGCTTTACCACTTTTAAACTCAAGACGATCAGTTCTCCTAAGACTCTTAAGTACTGTTCCAGGTGGACTGGTGGTTATTTTGATGCGGAAGGAGTGCTTGTTGACAGCTGAAGAATACAAAGACAAACTGGAAGCTCATATGGACCATTTGCAGAAAACAAATGTTTGGCAAAAGGTAATTATTTTGAGATCACTAATACTGCTTGGAAATTTATCTTGTGATCATATTTAGTAATGATGATAATTATAAACAGCAGTAGAAGGATTACAGACAGAACATCCCTGCGTGTCCCTGCGTGTCCCTGCGTGTCCCTGCGTGTCCCTGCGTGTCCCTGTGTGTCCCTGCGTGTCCCTGCGTGTCCCTGCGTGTCCCTGCGTGTCCCTGCGTGTCCCTGTGTGTCCCTGTGTGTCCCTGCGTGTCCCTGTGTGTCCCTGCGTGTCCCTGTGTGTCCCTGCGTGTCCCTGCGTGTCCCTGTGTGTCCCTGCGTGTCCCTGCGTGTCCTGTGTGTCCCTGCGTGTCCCTGTGTGTCCCTGCGTGTCCCTGCGTTGTCCCTGTGTGTCCTGCGTGTCCCTGCGTGTCCCTGCGTGTCCCTGCGTGTCCCTGCGTGTCCCTGCGTGTCCCTGCGTGTCCCTGCGTGTCCCTGTGTGTCCCTGCGTGTCCCTGTGTGTCCCTGCGTGTCCCTGTGTGTCCCTGCGTGTCCCTGCGTGTCCCCGTGTTTTCCCTGCGTGTCCCTGCGTGTCCCTGCGTGTCCCTGCGTGTCCCTGCGTGTCCCTGCGTGTCCCTGCGTGTCCCTGTGTGTCCCTGCGTGTCCCTGCGTGTCCCTGTGTGTCCCTGCGTGTCCCTGCGTGTCCCTGCGATCCCTGCGTGTCCCTGCGTGTCCCTGCGTGTCCCTGTGTGTCCCTGCGTGTCCCTGCGTGTCCCTGTGTGTCCCTGCGTTTTCCTGCGTGTCCCTGCGTGTCCCTGCGTGTCCCTGCGTGTCCTGCGTGTCCCTGCGTGTCCCTGCGTGTCCCTGCGTGTCCCTGTGTGTCCCTGCGTGTCCCTGCGTGTCCCTGCGTGTCCCTGCGATCCCTGCGTGTCCCTGCGTGTCCCTGCGTGTCCCTGCGTGTCCCTGCGATCCCCGTTGGGGAGGGAAATTTTACTTCTACATTCAACGTCATCTTCCAGGATGTTTTACTTATACAGTGTGAAAATCAAACCCAGAAGCGGGACAATGACTCAATCCAAACTAGCATTATGGTAGGTTATTTAACCAAATTCTCAGTGATCTAACCAACCTTGCACCATTTGTGACTAAGTCTTATACCACTGCTAGCTAAGGGTAGGCTCAAGAATCTACTACTGCTTAGGTCCTAAGCCAGATTTCTTAACATATCAACTGTTTGCAAGTAATTTTCTATCTAGGAAAAGCCTCTTCTCCTACATAAGTTTCTTCCATTTTGTGCAAGGGAGGTGAAACCCTGTTGGTCTTTCTTCTCATTAGTACTAACAAAGGAAAATAAACAGTGCAGACTTGTGAGAGTAGAATTGTTAATTTTGCATAATTCACATTAACTGGCGGTGATTGTCTCAAGGTCGAGCCCCTGACAGGTTTCTAGACAACACTCTTTTTGTGCCATCCCCTTGGGCTTGGGATCAGTGTAACACTCCCATACATAAGTACTGCTCAGTGTGGAGTAATTAAAGCAACTCACACTCATGTACACCTTCCCAAAACATGACTACATTGGTCTGAATGGCTCTGGAGGTCCATGGTTTGATGTTCTTGCTGGAGACATCTCATGGGCATAATAGACCCAATATTTGACTGGTGAGCTTTAGATTTGGTCTTACTTGGGATAGTGGCTTTTCTGTTTCTTCTATATTCAGATAATAAAGAAAATATCTCAGCCTATCAGTGATTTCCCATGCCATAAAGCAGTTAGCCTGATAATTAAGCTGAAATTCATACAACGTGGGTCTAGCTAATTTCATCATAATGGCATGGCTGATGACCCAGTCATAGTTGTTCCAGTCATGCAAATCTTTGAGACTGCTTGTCAAATTTATAACATCTGTACGGTTCATAAGCAATGTAATATACACCAGCCATACTAGAAATTTCCCAGGTAAACTTTAATCCCAACACACTAATGTTTAAAGCGCAGTTTTGATACATCCAGCTTCAAATAGTTCCTAAATATCCGGGTTGTGACAAAAAAAATATACAGATTGCTTGGGATAGAGTTTAAAACTTAAATCAAAATCTAACGATTACTGCAGTGTTTTTATAACATTTTTTAACTGTTCTGCTCCTGGGTAAAACAATTGAGCGGGGCCCTGACCTTTTAAACCCAGTAAAGGCGGGTTTTTTCACGACCAGGGGGAAGGCCCAAAACCACCACCTAAGTTACAATCAAATTAATTGCATTTGTATTTTTTGGGCTTGGGAAAGACTACGACCTTTGGCTACTTTCATTAAACAGAAGGGGGCAGTGAATCCTGAATCCCATTGAATGCGTAGGATTGCAATGACGTAGAAGACTACAATACGTAGAAGACTACAATGACGTAGAAGACTAAAATGGGGAAAAAGATACAATGACTAAAAAAAATAAAATACGTGAAGACTAAAATCGGAGAAGTACAATACGTAAAAACTACAATACGGAAAAGGGACTACAATGACTAGAAGACTACAATACGGAGAACTTACAATGACGTAGAAGACACAATCGGAGAAGACTACAATTACGTAGAAACTACAATGCGTAGAAGACTACAATGACGGAGAAGACTACAATGCCCTAGAAGACTACAATGAGGGAGAAGACACAATGACGTAAAGATACAATGAGGGGAGAAGACTAAAATGAGGGGGAAAGACTACAATGAGGGAGAAGACTACAATGACGTAGAAGACTACAATGAGGAGAAGACTAAATGACTAGAAGACTACAATGACGTGAAGCCCAAAAATACGGGAAGACTACAATGACGAGAAGATAAATGACGGGGAAACTACAATGACGTAGAAACTACAATGACGGAGAAGCACAATGCGTAAAAGACTACAATGACGTGAAGACTACAATGACGTAGAAGACTAAATGAGGAAAAGACTACAATGGAGTAGAAGATACAATGAGGAGAAACTAAAATACTAGAAGACTACAATGAGGAGAAGATACAATGACTTTAGAAGACTACAATGACTAAAGACTACAATGACGGAGAAGACTACAATGACGAGAAGACTACAATGATAGAAGACTACAATGACGTGAAGACACAATGACGGAGAAGACTACCAATGACGTAGAAACACAATGACGTAGAAGACTACAATACGTAGAAGACTACAATGACGTAGAAGACTAAAAGCGTAGAAGCTACAAGAGGGAAAGACTACAATGATTAAAATACAATGACGTAGAAGATACAATGCGTAAAAAGACTCAATGACGAGAAGACTACAATGACGTAGAAGACTACAATACTTAAAAGATACAATACGTAGAAGACTACAATGACGTAAAGACTACAATGACTAGAAGACTAAAAGAGTGGAAAGACTCAATGACGTAAAAGACACAAGATTAGAAGCAAAAAAAAATTATCCATTACAAAAACATTTTTTTTATAGATATTAAAATTTTACATGTTTGGGCACTAAAAGATATTACAATCTCCTTTGGAAGTTAGCAAATCTCTGATTTGTATGAAATAACCTGGCCTGTCTAAACTAACTTTTTCCAGTGTACTGCTACGTAAAAGAGAGGGTTTGGGGACTAGACTCCGCACATTGTGCCCACACCCTAAAAAAATGTGCCCACACAACATAGCCCAACCACATAATATATGTGCTCACACCAATGTGCCAACACCACATGTGCCCACAACACATTGGGCCCCCACCACTAACTATGTCTCACACCCCCATGTGCCAACCCACATAACATTGTACCCACACCACATCATATATGGCCCCACCCAAAAAACAAAGTGCTCACACCACATAAATATGTGCCCACACCACATATTGTTCAAAGGACAGAAAAAAAGATGTTGGGCTCTCAGACAAACACCCCTGATAAAAAACTTTTAAAACAAACAAGTTTTCACTTTTTATTTCCTTTGTTATACTAATAGGAAAGGACGGCAGGTCCCATTCCCCGGAACGAAATGGGGACAGACTTATCAGAGGGAGCTACCCTTTTGTTACTTTTCCCTATTAATATCTCAGGTTAGCTTGATCTAGGTTACGCCAAAAGAGAATGGTTTAACTGGGGTTTACCCGGGGGAGGTTTGCCCGGTTTACCTGGAGAGGGGGTTTGGGGTCAACCCCCCGTGTTTTATATCCTACAAACAATTTAATCTTTGTGATTGTGGCTTAGGGGCCTTAAGGTACTTGATTACTGGGGGTACCCTAATTAGCATGACAATGTCTCAGCTGGTGCCTCAGCTGGTCATAACTCATGGTTAATCACAAAGCTACAGTGACACTGTCTCGCTGGTGCCTCACGTACAAAATCACTGGGTTTCTCACAAAATTGCATGACACATGCTCAGCTGGTGTCTCACTGATATATAACCACTGGTTAATCACTAAGCTAGCATGATCATGTTCAGCGGTGCTCTCGCTGGGTACTACTCATTGGTTTCATCACTAAGCTAGCAGTGACACATGTCTCAGTGGGGCCTCGCTGGTACATAACTCATGGTTACTCACTAACTAGCAGGACACATGTCTCGCGGTCTCTCGGGGTATTAACTCAGGGGTTACATCACTAAGCTAGCATGCACATGTCTCAGTGGTGCTTTAGCTGGTATATAACTCACGGGGTTTTCATCATAAGCCAGGGAGTGCACATGTCTCACTGGGGCTCTCACTGTATATAATCACTGGGTTTCATCACTAAGCTACAGTGACACATGTCTCAGCTGGTGCTCTCAGCTGGGATATAACCACTGGTTCATCACTTTGCTAGCATGACACATGTCTCAGTGGTGCTTCAGATGGTACATAACTCACTGGTTTCTCACAAGCATCAGTGATACATGTCCAGCGGTGCTCTCGCTGGTGCTCTCAGCTGGTACATAACTCACTGGTTACATCACTAAGCTAACAGTGATACATGTCTCAGCTGGTGCTCTCAGCTGGTACTCTCACCTGGTACATGACTCACTGGTTACATCACTAAGCTAGCAGTGATACATGTCTCAGCTGGTACTCTCAGCTGGTACATGATTCACTTGTTACATCACTAAGCTAGCAGTGAACATGCCCTCAGCTGGTACTCTCACTGGTACAAGATTCACTGGTTACATCACTAAGCTAGCAGTGACACATGTCTCAGCTGGTGCTCTCAGCTGGTACAAGATTCACTGGTTACATCACTAAGCTAGCAGTGACACATGTCTCAGCTGGTACTCTCAGCTGGTACAAGATTCACTGGTTACATCACTAAGCTAGCAGTGATTATGTCTCGCTGGTACTCTCAGCTGGTACATAACTCACTGGTTACATCACTAAGCAAAGCAGTGATACATGTCTCAGCGGGTTTGCTCTCAGCTGGTACATAACTCACTGGTTACATCACTAAGCTAGCAGTGATACATGTCTCAGCTGGTTCTCTCAGCTGGTACATAACTCACTGGTTACATCACTAAGCTAGCAGTGACACATGTCTCAGCTGGTACTCTCAGCTGGTACAAGATTCACTGGTTACATCACTAAGCTAGCAGTGACATATGTCTCAGCTGGTACTCTCAGCTGGTACATAACTCACTGGTTACATCACTAAGCTAGCAGTGATACATGTCTCAGCTGGTTCTCTCAGCTGGTACATAACTCATGGTTACATCCACAAACTAGCAGTGATACTGTCTCAGCTGGTTCTCTAGCTGTAAAGATTCACGGTTACATCACTAAGATAGCAGTGATACATGTCTCAGCTGGTTCTCTCAGCTGGTACAAGATTCACTGGTTACATCACTAACAGACACTACTATAACCTACCCTATAATATTACTTATTTTCCTCGTTTATTATCTTCATTTCAAGCGAAGTACAGACTCATAGCTTTATTTAAACAGTTGTTTTTAGCACAATTATCATCACATTCTCTTTTATCATACTTTCTTCCACATGCTTAAAACATGACCAAGATTGAATTTACATAAAACTTCTGTTATAGCAACACATGAATATGTTCCAATATGATGAGTCTTATTACTGTAATATTGAAGTTTATGCAAACTGTACTACTGGAATATTTATCTAATTTTCTGCTCAGGAAGTGAAGAAGACTGTGGCAAACTACTTCTGTGGTAAAGAAGGAACGGTGTTTATCTACCGTGTACTGTGAGCAACTCGCTTCCTCATCCCTTCCCTCTGCACTGTAATTCATAGATTTAGGCAACAGTTCTCTTTGATTTAGAATTATTTGATTTTACTGCAAAAGAACCACCACGATGGAATTCAGGATTGAAACTACTGGTGCTCATGATGTCTTAAAATTAATCTACTTTCTGTCTGTTAGGTAAGACACATATGCAACAGTTAGGTATCTTTATTTCGAAACGTTTCGCCTACACAGTAGGCTTCTTCAGTCGAGTACAGAAAAGTTGATAGAAGCAGAAAATACTTGAAGACGATGTAATCAGTCCATCACCCTTAAAGTTTTGAGGTGGTCAGTCCCTCAGTCTGGAGAAGAGCATTGTTCCATAGTCTGAAACAACAACTCTAAAGACGGAATCTGAGTACAACCTTCCCCTGAAGGCCAAGTTATAGATAATATGAAACACTTCTACTGATGTATACCAGCTGGCTCACGCCACACTGTTAGATCAGATGGTGTAAGGCATTCCACACTACCTTGCCAGCTTTTTCATTAACATCAATAGGCTCTAACATTCAGGTAAACCTTTTCGTAATTCATGTAATAACTAGTGCACAGCTTCGGGTTCACTAGAGACACTAGAATGTTGGAAAGAATTACAGCTCTTACTTGAAGAATTCAAACCACCCAGTCATGATACTCTTATGCCCAAAATATATTTTATAAGTTCTGAGTCAGGTGGTAACTCCTGGGAAGATTTTGTACCTCAGTCGTGACTGCACAAGTCTCATCACACAGCTTTTAAAATATATTAGTATTCCTTTTCTTTAGCATCTACAGAAAACGAGTTTAAGTGTATTTGGAGGAACCTGATGTGAAATGAAATTTTAGAAAGTCGCGTGGAATAGCATAATTAATAAATTACTTTCATTACCAAGACAACCTTCCTACAACCTTGTCCCGGCAGATAAAGACAATGTTGTCCAGGAGATCATTAATGTCATTACAACTTCAGACCTTGATTATATTTACACAGACACATCATGGCCAGCTGATCCACTTTACTACAACATTCATTATATACAAATATTCTAGCTCACTTACCAAGTTAATTTCACGATAAAACATTGTATTTCGAAATCACTTGACCTTAACAGAAAGAGAAAAATATATAATCAGAAAAGTGAAATCTAGCTCAAAAATATTGACCAGCTTGATGATCGGCCTGTTGTTCGTCCAGCTTCTTAGTGTTATAATAACGAAGAAGAATGTCAAACATAATTCCTTCTTGGTTAATGAAAATTTAGCCCAACCATCTTTGTTATTACAAACCTCAGTAAATACACAAGTCTTCTTGAATATAGTTTCATTTCTGCCTACTTGTGCGTTTTAGGTAAATTGGTCAATTATCAAGAACTCATTTAAATTAAGTCTCTTCTAAAACTTTCTCTTATATGTTTAAAGATATATTTTTTTCAATTATGTTAATATAAAAATTAATGAATTTTTACCAAAAAACTTAGATATTAGAAAACATCAATTTCAGGACCTTGAGTTTACCTGGAGAGAGTTCCGGGGGTCAACGCCCCCGCGGCCCGGTCTGTGACCAGGCCTCCTGGTGGATAAGACCCTGATCAACCAGGCTGTTACTGCTGGCTGCACGCAAACCAACGTACGAGCCACAGCCCGGCTGGTCAGGAACTGACTTTAGGTGCTTGTCCAGTGCCAGCTTGAAGACTGCCAGGGGTCCGTTGGTAATCCCCCTTATGTGTGCTGGGAGGCAGTTGAACAGTCTCGGGCCCCTGACACTTATTGTATGGTCTCTTAACGTGCTAGTGACACCCTTGCTTAGCATCTCTAGTTTTGAAGGTTCTCATTATCCATCCTGTCATTTTTCTAGCAGATGCGATTGATACAATGTTATGGTCCTTGAAGGTGAGATTCTCCGATATGATCACTCCCAGGTCTTTGACGTTGGTGTTTCGCTCTATTTTGTGGCTGGAATTTGTTTTGTACTCTGATGAAATTTTAATTTCCTCATGTTTATCATATCGGAGTAATTGAAATTTCTCATCGTTGAACTTCATATTGTTTTCTGCAGCCCACTGAAAGATTTGGTTGATGTCCGCCTGGAGCCTTGCAGTGTCTGCAATGGAAGACACTGTCATGCAGATTCGAGTGTCATCTGCAAAGGAAGACACGGTGCTGTGGCTGACATCCTTGTCTATGTCGGATATGAGGATGAGGAACAAGATGGGAGCGAGTACTGTGCCTTGTGGAACAGAGCTTTTCACCGTAGCTGCCTCGGACTTTACTCTGTTGACTACTACTCTCTGTGCTCTGTTAGTGAGGAAATTATAGATCCATCGACCGACTTTTCCTGTTATTCCTTTAGCACGCATTTTGTGCGCTATAACGCCATGGTCACACTTGTCGAAGGCTTTTGCAAAGTCTGTATATATTACATCTGCATTCTTTTTGTCTTCTAGTGCATTTAGGACCTTGTCGTAGTGATCCAATAGTTGAGACAGACAGGAGCGACCTGTTCTAAACCCATGTTGCCCTGGGTTGTGTAACTGATGGGTTTCTAGATGGGTGGCAATCTTAAGAACATAAGAACATAAGAACGAAGGAACACTGCAGAAGGCCTACTGGCCCATGCGAGGCAGGTCCAAGTCTCCTACCGGCTTAAGCCAATGCACCCAACCTAGTCAGGTCAGGTCACATTGACTTAAGGGAGGAACACGGCAACCGACCTGGTAGCACAAGCTATCAGGTCTAACTCACACCCACCCACATCCACTCATGTATTTATCCAACCTATTTTTAAAGCTACACAACGTTCTGGCCTCTATAACGGTACTTGGGAGTTTGTTCCACTCATCCACAACTCTATTACCAAACCAGTACTTTCCTATATCCTTCCTGAATCTGAATTTTTCCAACTTAAAACCATTGCTGCGAGTCCTGTCTAGGCTAGATATTTTCAGCACACTATTTACATCCCCTTTATTTATTCCTGTCTTCCATTTATACACCTCAATCATATCCCCCCTAATTCTACGTCTTTCTAGAGAGTGCAGATTCAGGGCCCTTAGTCTATCCTCATAGGGAAGGTTTCTGATACATGGGATCAACTTTGTCATCCTCCTTTGTACATTTTCCAGAGAATTTATATCCATTCTGTAATAAGGTGACCAAAACTGTGCAGCATAATCTAAATGAGGCCTAACCAAGGATGTATAGAGTTGAAGAACAACCTGAGGACTCCTATTATTTATGCTTCTTGATATGAAGCCAAGGATTCTATTAGCTTTATTGCGAACACTTATGCACTGTTGTCTTGGTTTCAGATTACTGCTAACCAGAACTCCTAAATCTTTTTCGCAATCCGTAATATTAAGATCTACATTATTTAGTTTATATGTGGCATGATTATTGTCCTGTCCAACATTTAGAACTTTGCATTTGTCTATATTAAACTGCATCTGCCACTTCTCCGACCACTGCATCAGTCTATTCAAATCTTCCTGGAGTGCTCGAATGTCCTCGTCAGAATGAATTCGACGGCCTATTTTGGTGTCATCGGCAAACTTGCCGATGTCGCTCTTTATGCCCTCATCTATGTCGTTTATGTAGATTGTGAACAGCAGGGGGCCCAACACTGACCCCTGTGGAACACCGCTCGTGACACTTCCCCACTCTGATTTCTCCCCATTTATGCAAACTCTCTGCTGCCTATTTGTCAACCATGCCTCTATCCAGGAAAAAATTTCTCCTCCTATTCCATGTGCTTTAATTTTCCTCAATAGTCTCTGATGTGGGACCCTGTCAAAAGCCTTACTGAAGTCCATATACACAATATCATATTCATTACCATGATCTACCTCCTCAAATACCTTAGTGAAAAAAGTTAATAAATTCGTAAGGCAGGAACGCCCCTTTGTAAAACCATGCTGAGATTCGTTGATTAATTTATGCTTTTCAAGGTGGCTACGAACTGCCTCGGCAATTATTGATTCCATAAATTTTCCCACTATGGAGGTTAGGCTTATTGGTCTATAGTTCGAAGCTAAGGACCTGTCACCTGTTTTGAAAATAGGTATCACATTTGCCATTTTCCACTTATCTGGCACCATGCCAGTTTGTAGTGATATGTTGAAAAGATTAGCCAAAGGTGTGCTAAGCTCCTCTTTTACATTCCTTTAGAACCCTTGCATACAGTTCATCAGGGCCTGGGGATTTGTTAGGTTTTAATTTATCTATTTGCCTAAGGACCATGTCACTTGTGACCCTAATAGTGCACAGTTTATTATCGTCCTGTTCTACATAATTTATCATTACTGGAATATCGCTGGTATCCTCCTGTGTAAAAACTGAGAGGAAGTATGTGTTAAAAATTCTACACATTTCCTTATCACTGTCAGTGAGCTGACCCGAGGAACTTTTGAGTGGGCCTATCTTGTCCCTGATCTTACTTCTGTATACCTGAAAGAATCCTTTTGGGTTAGTCTTCGATTCTCTTGCAACTTTAACCTCATAATCTCTTTTTGCTTTTCTAATTCCCTTTTTTATTTCTCTCTTTAACTGAATATATCGATTTCTCAATTGCCCCTCTCCTCTTTTGATTTGCCTATATATGCCTCTCTTTTGACCAATCAGATATTTTAATCTATTGTTCATCCATTTAGGATCATTTTTGTTTGATCTGATTTCCCTATTTGGAACATAATTTGACTGAGCAGCTAGAACTATGCCCTGGAAAGCATCATATCGGCAACCATCACCACCTACCTGACCCTTAGTCAGGTCATTCCAGTTCAGCCCACCTAAGTAATTTTTCAGTCCTATGAAATCAGCCAAGCGAAAGTCAGGGACGGAGACTTGATTGCCATTATTAGGGGAATTCCATGATATATTAAAACTGAGTGATTTGTGATCACTTTCCCCAAGCTCATCATTAACCTCAAGATTATTAATTAGTGTTTCCCTACTGGCAAGAACCAAGTCAAGGAGGTTATTTCCCCTAGTTGGCTCTGTCACAAACTGTTTTAAAAAACAATCCTGGATCGTATCAAGAAAGTCACCTGACTCTAAATTTCCTGTCAAATTGCTCCAGTCAATCTGTCTATAGTTGAAATCTCCCATTAGCACAACATTTTCGTATGTAGATGCCTTACGAATTTCGTCCCATAGAAGTTTACTGCACTCCCTATCAAGATTTGGGGCCCTGTAAATCACACCCAAAATTAGTTTTTCTCGGCCCTCGAGAAGCTGTAACCAAACAGATTCAGTGGCTGACGCTTCTAATTTAATATCTTGTCTAACACAACAATTTAAATTGTCTCTGACATACATCGCTACTCCACCACCTTTCCTGTTGACCCTGTCAGTGTGGAATAATTTATAGCCTTGTATGTGACATTCAGAGGGCATCTCTCTATCTTTCAGATTGAGCCAGGTCTCTGTTATAGCAATAATATCTATGTCTCCTGCACTTGCAATTAATCTTAGCTCATCTATCTTATTTCTTACACTCCTGCTATTAGTATAGTAAACCTTAAGGGAGCTAGTCCCTTGCTGCCCTCTGCTGTCCCCCTTTGTTTGCTGACCTGATCTATTGTCTTTATTTATAACTTCATGCTGAATGCCTTTTATACATTTACTGTTTCCAACCCAAGTGTTGCAACCTGCTTGTTTCCCACACACACCCATACCTCTATCTTCTAGATCTTGCTTCTTAGGACCCTTTCAAAGATTTTTATGATATGGGATGTTAGTGCTATTGGTCTGTAGTTCTTTGCTGTTGCTTTACTGCCCCCTTTGTGGAGTGGGGCTATGTCTGCTGTTTTTAGTAACTGTGGGACGACCCCCGTGT